AGCACATATGTGCTGTAGCTATTTCTTTTGAATGTCTGATCCATTTTACAATCATAAAAGAGTAAAACAAAAGCTTTTTCCCTTGATCCCTCCTTCCCTCCTCCCTCCCCCGTGTTGCCTGCTTTGCTGCTGTTCTCTGCAACAAAACTTCTCAAAGGACTTCTTGGGGTCTTCACTTCGGTATCTCCCATTCTCTCCTCTACACATCTGAACTTGGCTTCTGTCTTCATGGTGCCACTGAAACTGCTGTTAGCACTGTCGACAACAACCGAGGTGATGCCCAGGGCCGTGGTCCTTTCTCTTCTGACCACTTCTGCAGGCTCATTGCTCTCTCACCCGCTTCCCTCATTGCTGGCCTTCAGTCTTCCTATTCTCTCCTCCTCCTCTATGAATGTCTAAACCCTGGGCGGGGGGTGGGGGGAATTACTCGGGAAGCTGAGGCAGGAGGTTCACTTGAGCCCAGGAGTTTGAGGTTGCTGGGAGTTATGATGCCACTGCTCTCTAGCCAGGGTGACAAAACAAGACCCTGTCTCAAAATAAAATATTGTAAAAAAAAAATAATAATGTTTTTCCAAAATATTTTTTTAAATAGTAGTAGAGCTGGAAAAAAGGAAAGAAATTACTGGTCACCCTAGGGTCCTCTTGATGACTCAACTCACTGAAACAAGAGATACAGGAGAGGAGTGGCTGACCCCAGAGAACCCATTCAGGATCAGAGCAGGCCTCCCGCTTAAGGGCCTCTCTGGAGACCTCTCTCACTCTCCAAAGTCTGGCACTGAAATCAAGTCCCTCTTGCCATTGTTATTTGGGAAGCAGAGATGAGAAGTCTTCCCCTTGGACAGAAAGACTATGGGGATATTTCCTTGCTCAGAAGTTCCACCTCTGTATCCTCTAAGGGAAGGACAAAGTCAAGGGAAGCCCAAAGAGCCCTAATCATGTCTGTGACTCTGGAAGAGATAGCATACAGGTATCCTCCACCGAGCACATCGGTTGTTAGCCAAGAGAGCTCAGGTGAATACAAATCTCCTTCTCATTCAAATATATCTTCTGAAAGTATCCACTCTGGGAACCCAAGAGGGTACAAGTCACATAGAGATCAGATCCTCATTTATAACCTTCCTGAGTTAGCCATCAAGGGGGGGAAGGGGAGCCACTTTGCCTTCCTCTGATCGAGACTAAACCCTAAAACTGTCCATTTTACCAGGTTCTTTTTCTCCTTCCTACTTTTGGCCTTTAAAGTCCCCATGATGCACAGATCTTCCAAGTTTGACTTAACTTTATTCACACCCACTGGTGGCTATTCAGAGAACATCCCAGGCTTTCTAGACTCTCATACTGAGCCCTGAAACTGCAGCAAAAACAGTGGACTGCATAGATTCACAGAAACCGGAACGGGAGGGCCTTGGGGTGCCTGACATACACAGCCCTCACCTGCCCTTGAGGACATCCCCTGACCGGCTTCTATAAAACCAGCAGGCTGTTACATACCACTTCTGCGTGGGAAGAGAAGGAGCTTCTACTGAGTACCAGAGACACCCAAGGAAGATTGTTTCCCCATCTTTACAATTTCTAAGCTGAAACGGACTTCAGAGAACATCTAGTTTTCTCATGTTGGTTTTGTTTAGTTTTGTTTTTTGAGAAACTTAAGTGACTTACAACCTTCCAGCAGCAGAGATAGGATTTGCACCATCATCAGGCGTCATGAT